CTCAAGACGGCATTGCTCAGCGGATACAAGGCGCTTGGAAACTAGCTGTGGGGGTATAACCCCAGGTACCCACGACAATGGACATGGGCCATACCACCAGGGGAGGTCCAGCCCATAAGATCAAGGCCTACGGTGCTTGGCTCTGGTAGGCGTGCACCGCACGGCAATCAGAAGATATCTTGGTGATAAAGGAAAATCTGTTCAGATATGATAGATATCATATTTCTTGTAAATACTTACTATATAGCCGAATAGATCTAGACCTAAACTGACCTATAACGCTACCCTCTAGACTATATAAAGCGGGTAGGGACCCCCTCGAATGCATCTCATATTCAATACAATCCACAAAAGACACAGGACGTAGGGTATTACGTCGATCAGACGGCCTGAACCTGTCTAAATCGCTTGTCTCTGCGCCTGTGTCATCATCCGGCTCCTATTACGTGCACCTCCACCGATTCATCTACTACCATGGGCATATCCCTCGGTAGACTGCCGACCATATTTCATCGACAGGGACAAAGAGTGGTAAATGCTCAAGCACACCACCTATTTATAACCTCACACACAAAACTAGTTGTTTCTCACTTAAATACAACTTCTGTGTATCCACCAAAAAAAACTCCAGTGACCATCGGAGAACATCGTCGGAGGTTTCTCAATGGCTAGTTATTGGCTACTTTTAAACTTAGAAAATAGCCATTGCCATAGCCTAAACTTTGATGCTACTCAACTAGCAACACCGCCTTTTCTGGTGCCTCTCAGCACCAAGTTTTCAAATAAAACACACTCTCTGGATCCACCCTCCGGTGAACTCTCGATGCTAGTACTGGAGTTTCTTGATGCATAACATATTGTTCAAAAACTTTTTAAGGCCATCTAATTCCCTGGTGACCCCATTGGAGTTTCCGCTGACGACTTTGAATCTCCCGTGCACTTCTGAAACCTACAAAATGTCACCATGTGTCTAGCTATTCTCCCATGCCCTTCTCGACGGTGGCACCGCAAAAATAGGTCCTCCCTTGAGATGAAATAGTAAAACCTGCTATTATCACCCTAGGAGCCTAAGCCCCGGTGCCTAAACCACTAGAACACCAGACTTTTCTTATGGCCAACAAGTCAGTGAAATAGAGCGATGATCGAATTGTGGCGGCAGAGGCGCCTAAGCTCCGATGGTCCTTCTTCGGTGACCACCAGACTTCGATGAGTGCTCAACCACCTCACCAAGCCCCCCTCTCAAACCTTTTTCAAATGTGCTAGCTACAAAGAGTGTCCCACGGGACAGTAACACCTTTAGCATTGAGTTAACATTTTCAACACATTTTTCAAAGGTTTTCATTTGCTTCCTCACCATGTCACTTGGTCTAACACATATGCACTATTAGTCCTCACCTAGTGGCACTAGACAACATATTATCTTAAGAAATCCCCTCTTAATAGTATGTCTATCTATCCTAAACCTGGCCATGCATGCACTTGTTTACTACATCATGGCCGGTGAAACAAACCCGTATAGGTTATACCTTTGCCTTCTAGCTTGTCTCCACTTCCATTATATATCTCAACCTCCTTCTCTTATCCATGTTGAGCACTTGCATCTTGTGTCATCACCATCTCCACCATGCTCTTAGCTGTCGGTGTGTATGATTACCAACAACCTTGCTACGGGGTTACCTGGAGCAACGATTGGCTGGGCTTCGGCGTAAACTGAACTCGATGGTTAACGTGAGACAACAATTTAGACATGTTCAGGACACTGAATAGCACAATACCCTACGTCCTTTGTGGTGTGTTGCCTTGCATTGGATTGTGTTGTATGAATTTTTACAAGGGGGTGCCCCTACCTCTCTTTATATAGTCCAAAGGGTAGGTGCATGATTCCAGTCCTAGTCAGAAGAGTTTTAGTCCTATTAGAAAGATAGACTTTCCTATGTCTGACTAGGTCAGTCTGCTATGCTCTGGAAGTCACGCCACCTTGTCCCGCTCCTTCTTGGCAGTCCATAGACTAGCCCATCTCCTTGCCTGGTAGTCAGCCCTATAGGGAACCCTTAGGATCTTGGTCCATCACTAGCCTTGCTCAACACCATCTTGTGGACTAACCTAGCTTATATATCAACTCAAGTAAGGAATTATTTCAGTAGTTGTCCCTCAATTATTACCAAAACTAAACTAGGGTCTTTCAGCCGGGGAGCCACGTCGAGGGAGGGGAATAAGACGATGGTTTGTCAGAGAGAGTCGGGACAAAAAAGACACGAGGTAGTGAGTTGGTGCGGAAAAATGTTTTCTTGGAAAGAAGTAAGTAGGTGTGCCCCTGCACACCCCTGAGAGATAGAGTTGAGAGGGGAGATTTCAAAGCCTCCGTAAAGTAGGAAGTTGAGTTGGACCCTGTTGCATAAAGTTATTTTTTTTGCTCTAGCACAAAAAAAAAATAGAATAGAAATCCTCTTTAGGATCACTGTTGGAGATGCTCTTAGCACTATAGCATAGTGACAAATGTGATAGAAATGCCACTAAGTTGTCACGAAGTAGTCATTTTATATTCAATTTCTAAACATTATTTTCTGATCATGTTTGTTTATGATTCAATTAAGTTTGAAAGTAACATCAAATGGTAACACGTCACACCCTAAAAATCAGTTTTTTGCAGTTTAATTATAATGCCTTAAACTTCTTTAGATAATTTCATATTTTTCTAAAACGAGAAAACTTCGTTTTCTAAGTAAATGATGACTCAATCATAGGATATCTACGTGTTTGATGCATTCATGTTACTTCATATTACTTTTCTGTATGAGTAGACTGCTTTTCATAAAAATATAGATTTATGCATAAAAATCACTTAATCTGAATTTTGTTCAGATTTCTATTTCGAAAAAGCCACTTTTTTTCTGCAGCAAATCCATATTGGCCCACTGTTCCTTTCTGGTTTTCCTGTCTCTTCCCGCTGCCTTTGTTTTGTCTCCGTGGTGGGCTGAGGCCCGTGTTCTACATTGACTGAAGACGCCGGGCCAGAACGCTCTCTGTTTCACTGCCCTTCTATGGGTTTTGTTATTACTCTCCCCATTCCAAATTATGTCACGTTTACATTTTTGTTCATACATTTTTGTTATGTATCTAGTCATATTATTTATCTAGATACACAGCAAAATAGATATATCAAAAAAGTCAAAACGACTTATAATTTGGAACAGAGGGAGTACGAATTATGAATACGAAAGGCCTGACTGATCCAGCCCCTTTCTGATTGGATAATTCCAATCCGTTGCAAAGTACCACTAACTGATGAAATGAGCTGATTGCACATCAGGATACTTCACTGTTTGTGACAAGTTTCCAAGAAAAAAAAACCGACAGACATGAACGGCACAACGATTGCAATTAATAGTTGCATGTAGTGCCTGATTTAGTTTCCATGGAGGCCAGTGACGTCCCAGAGGATTTAGAGATTTGAGCGAAATTCTAAATGAAGTCTAAACAAACTATCAAAATAAAAAATAGCAACATAAACTTTGATGTAATGTATTTAGAGCATGCTCGGATGAGCTATCTTCCGAGTTCTATCTCTAACAGGGATGTTTTTCTACAAAAAAAGATGCCCTAGGGCATCTTTTATCTGAACTATATTAAGAAAAACGAGAACAAGCACAACAGAGATCATGCTAGAAAACAAAACTACAATTCAACTGGACGGTCTTTAGGTAACTGCATCCATCACAACCATGCCAGCATTGTGTCGTCCCATCATTGACAGATTAGAGTCTTGTCTTTAAAGTATTTTTCCTTAGCATATGTTGCAACAAATCATCTTCATTACAAAGTTTAAATAACCATTTACTTAATAAACACTTGTTTGTAAATCAAGGTTTTGTATGCCTAGGCCTCCCTGTTCTTTGTGTTGGAAAATAATAGACCATTATGTCAACCTATATTTCTTTTTATGTTGATCATACTGTCAGAAGAACCTTGATCTATAGTAATCAATTTTCTTGAGAACACCTCTAGGCATCTCAAAAAAAGACAACATAAACAAAGTTAAACTAGACAGAACCGAGTTAATCAACGCTAGTCTCCCTCCTAAAGAAAGCATTTTTCCTTTCCAACTGGACAATTAGTTTTCAATTCTTTCTTCAATTCCTTTCTAGTCATTGTTATTAAGTATCCTATAGCATCGGTAGACCTAGGTAACGAAAGGGATATGCACCAATTTTACAGCCAAATAATTGTGAGTATTGCTTCTCACAATGCTTAGCTTGCCTGTAGCAGAAGAACCAAGGAATTGCTAATTAAGCACTTTTGTGTGCTCTGAGATGGAGTATTTTTGGTTCAGTTGCAGTATAATTCATTTGGATTCTGTTTCTCAGAAGTGTTCCTGTTGGATATGCCCTTTTTTCTTTACCAGCAACATACATTAGAATTAGATACTCCCATCCCGTCTAATAAAAATCCGGTAAAACTTTTGCCGCCTTTCGAAAAAAATTAGATACTCCCAAGGCCATAACAAAGGATGCAGAATCGGTGGTCCAAAGTCCAAACATTCGCATGATCTCTCCATCAAGTAAACGTAAGCATCACTTATACATTTGAAAGTGTTTAAACTAAGAGAGAATTGAAGGCGACTATATATTAGCAGAGCAGGAAACACTGATATCAAAAATAAAAGTTAAAAGACAATTTGAAGGGCTGCACCGCTGCAATGACTCTTTAGTTTAGTTGAATGACAGCATTTCCTTATTATCACTCACATGACTTGCAAACATTCAGAAATACCGCGGCAATAAGTTAATGTGCGTTACTCCTTGATCAAACGGCCTTGACCAAGCACAAATCGACATCCAAATATAAAGAAAGGACAGAAAAAAAATATGATCACAACCCAAGTATAGCACAGACACGAAATGGACCTCTGGACCAGCATTTTGCCGCTGTTAGAAATTAGGACTGAGAATTCCCATAGCAAGATGGCGGTAGTGGCACTTGTTAACAAGATCAGACGACGATTAGTGATGCTGCGGGTTGGGACCACCGGGGCTGAGCCTCTTCGACCCGTCGTACGGTATCCCCGGCGCCTCCTCCGACCACACAGAGGCAGAGGTCGTCGTGTTCCCTTCTGGGCCGTTGGCAATGATAACTTCGTCTCGCAGCCAGCGTCGCCCCAGCGGCGGGCTGCTATCCGAGAGCTGGACTGGCGATGAGGCGGTGACGAGAACGACGCAGATGCAGAAGCACAGCACGAGCTTCATGGCTGATGAGCTGTGTGTCGCTATCTTCTGCAGTCGCTACTCGCTAGTGGAATGTGCAGAGGATGAACTAGAGCAGCCGGCACCTACGTGCATTTATAATCCAAGCGTTTGAGTTTTTTATGGCCATGTTGAACTATGATAGGGTGCTGGTGGTGGTGGAAGCTGGCATGAAACCGTACTGGTCATTTAGCCCTGCAGCTGCAGGTGACAGCCAGTTAGCTCTGCAAGAGGTACTATAGCTAGCATTAGGCGCACATAGGCATTGCGCAGGACGTACTACGTAAATAATTCAGCACTATGCAGCAGTGGTGAGAGAACAAAGTCGAAATGTTCCTTGCTCTATCTTGTTTTGATAAGTTATTGGCGGTTGGATGATGTGCTGAGTAATTAGGCAATTTCCACATTAAAGTCAAAACATAAATCATGACGATCTCAGATATTAGTATGAGCTGCCTTAACATACTAGTTATATTGAACAGCATGAACAACAACGTAGAACAGCATCATGATCAAGACAACAGGCATAATATAACAACAGATTGGATCAGGGAGTGTATCTTTTGTCTGCAGAGGGAGACGGCGGTGCTGGTTATGGAGACGCTGTTGCTGATGGTGGTACGAAGGCATCGATGAGCGGTGGAGAAACAACTCGGAGTAGCTAACGATGAATACGGCGGGACGTAGCGCCGCCTGACTTAGATGGAATACGGCCCGTCATGGAGGTTGGGAGCAATCGCAAGAAGAGCACTTCCCAAAACCTTATTCGTCCTTTCCTGGTGCACGATTGCAAGGACGAGGGTTTCAGAGATCTGCTCTCCCGATCGTCGGTGCACGTAGGCGCTCGGGATGGAGAGGCTGCGGCAGCGGCGCAGTGGCGAGAAGAGGCAAAACCCTTGCTCAATTAGATGTGTTTTGGCATTGGTCGATAGGCTGTTTATATAGGCCTGTCCAACAAAATGTCGTCTTGCAATTGTGATCTAAACCGTTTAAGACTTCTATCTGCAAACTTAAAGGCCAAGAAATAAAAAAAAATAAATCAGCAAAAAGAGACGGCGCCCGCAAGACGAGGCGGTTTACGACTTCTATTTGCAGACTTAAAGGCTAGATTTCAGCAGACCATTCACGCAGGTGCCCTTTGTCCAGCCCGGCCCGACAAGGCGAGGCGAGGCGAGACGAGCACGTGCATGTAGGCTTCCTTTCTCCTCCTCGCACTAGATTTGAGGAAGTGGAGAGGACTTTCATATTTGTTCGCACATGAACACGTCGCCGTGTGCCTCCGATGATGAGCGTGATACATAAGATACATCACCAAAGGAGCCTCGCTAGAGCGCGATATGCAAGACACCGGCGAGGTCTCTCGATACCCGAAAGAGAACACGCCACATCGCGCACTACGAACCCCTTCAACTAATTATGTAGTATATATGAAAGAGGACAGGATGGCATCTTGACATTATGCGCCTTGAATGCATGTCATGTGTTGCCCACGCGTTAGTTTCATGAGATATATTCGCTGCTAGACCATGCATGCAACCCATCTAGATCAAAGCCCGGCAGAATCAAGCATTGCAGTCTAAAAAACGAAGAAAGGAAAGAAATTAAGTTCAATTAATAGTTAGTATAGACTTAGTGGACTACAACTAATAATATATTTATACAAGAAAGCCACGTAGTGCCTCCGTCCTGAAATATAAAGGATCCAAAGTTCAAAATTCGTACCAAATGTAACGATGTATTCTGCATCCTCAATCTTCTCTCTCATTTGTCTTTGTGGCAAAGAAATTGTTGGGACATAGATATCTTGGTTGCAAAGACAAACCCATCCTTGTCTATAACCCTTGTGTTATCTACATTACATTATATTGAGGTCTTCACTCTCACATCTTGTTCTTGAGCAGGAACCTCATAGAAAGTCTTTCGACCATACCTCCAAGATCATGCAAAGGCTTTCGGGCGGCGGGCGACCATTGGCGAAGGCTGATGCTCCACCTCCCGGCGGACTGTGGGAGATCAAGGTGAAGGCTCGCGGAGAGTCTCGGCTCGGGAAGACCAAAAGGGCTAGCGGAGACCGGGCCTTCGACCGTCGCGTAACCGGCTCGGCAGGGAAGGCGCGTGATGTGGATGTAATGGGCCTCCACCAGGCTTACTGCTAAGGCCCATGAAGTAAGGCGGTGGAGAAGGAGAAGACCCACGATGATCCGAGGACAAAATACGTGTACGGGCATATTCTTGGAATATGCCTTAGCTCTCTTAGGGCAGAATTTTAAAGTTGTAACCCATGTGTACAGTGAGCTATAAAAGGGGAAGCAGACCCATGTAAAGAGAGAGAGGTTTATGCGTAAATGAAACCCTAATTACACCCTGGTCCCACCTTTGTTCTCTTGCTTGAGCATTAACCTTCGCCTCCGTGAAGGCACCTTTGGTCTCACCCTGCTGGGAAACGTTTTCCCAACAGAAAAGGTCGTTCCTTTTAAACTTGACGTCACTCAAAACAATTGACCAGAAACAAAGGAAAGTAATAACTAACTACTCCCTCTGCTAATTAGTGAGGGGCAAAGTGATATTTTGTTAGGCTCTTTATTTTATCTGAAAATCATTTAAATACGTACCTTATATTTCAGTATGGATGGAATATATTATAGCACGTGGAAGGGAACATCTCTATATGGACAATGTTGAAGTTTATCTATAAGGAAATATGACCAATCCAATGTTCCCTCTCTGAATTATGTGACGAGTTTGAGGTCAAGATAAAATAAAGGATATATCGTACCACGGATGCCCACCAAAATAAGAAAAACAAAGAAAGTTCTTAATTATGTGAGGAGCTTGAGATCAAGATAAGGATGCCCAACAAAAACAAGGAAAAAGGAAGAAAGCTATTAATATAATTTTGTGTAAGTCTCTGAGTGTGGCTCAACTCGAACCTTCCCATCAAGTATGATCGAGTCTCCAACTAAGTACAGGTGTTCACATTTTTGGGTAATTATTCTTTCAATGTTTGCATGTTTTGCCAACGAAAAAAATCATTGATTCAATGGAAGAATGTGTAGTAACTAGTAAGGGAACATGCTGGTCAACGTAAGTACACTTGTCACCTATAAATCCAATGTCATAGGAATTTCCTAGAGTTCTATTATCTATATTTCCTTTTTAAATATCACTAGCCCATGTAGTCCCATGGTTCGATGGGCTAGTATATACAGTACATGTGGATCGTGATGGATTAAAGTGCAGTCAAACAAGGCCTAAATTAGGTTCCCACTGTTTGGTTTGCTTCACTTTCTGCACGCGTGAGTTAATCACAGAACTCAACTGCAAACTGTCCATTGCCCTTGCATTTGATTTAGGATAGAAGGCATCCGTCGTTTGGCATTGGCGTAAACAAGTGTATAATGGAGCAAACCGTTCCAGCTGGGGCAGTTAGAATATACCTCATATGGACTATCAAATTCAACATCAGTGCTCGCTGACCAAATAAAACTAGGTCAAGTGCTCAACTCAGCTGGTCCCAACATTAACTAAAAGTGTCACAACTTTAGTTAAATATATTCTTGCTCAACGACCAAGATTCCATTAATCTTGAGCTAATAAGTGTTGCAACTTTAGACAGAAAAAAATAAGAATATAAAAACAGAAAGAAAAACTAAGAATGGGACAAGAATGCAAATATAAAACAGAGAAATATTTTAGTTAGGAATATGTGTTTGGATCATCCACAAGAAAAACACAGAAAACAAAAAAAAAGTTAGGTTTGAGTGGATGTTTTTTCCCATGGTTTTTGGTGAAATCAAATATAAATGAAAGTTTCCTATGTTTTTCCAGCAAAAGATTCCTATGAATGAAAAAACACTATAGGCATTGTTTGGATGTTGACGGATTCACTTCAATCTACATGTATTCGGATAGATTGAGGTGGAATTTAGTTTGAGTTTCACTCCAATTAAGCCCATAATAACTCAATCCGTAGGAATGAGAATCCTACTTTTTTTTCTTTGTTTCTCCTACGATTCAAAGGGGCCATGCATATACAGACATGTCATGCGATTTTTAAAGCAAAGAAAGGCCATGGGCTGCATCATGTCGTGATGCATGCATGGACTTACATTGAGTTCGATTGGAGGAACGTGCAAATCGTTTTTGGCAGTTAGGTAGTCGGCCGGCCGCTTCTTCTTCAAATAAAAGGAAGGAACAGGGGAACAAGAGCTTGTCAACCGTCAAGTGGCATTGTTAATGTCTGTTGATGTTGAATCAGCAGCGATCATCGTGTAATTAATCGTGTTTCGTGCATGAGATCGTGTGGCAATGACAGGCCAGAAGGTTAGGACTGACGACGAGGTACAGGCACGTACATATACACCAATGCAACACCGTCGATATGTATATGTCGACCTACATATGCCGCCGCTCTCACACTCCAAGCCCTGGACTGGAAGAAAACCGGACTTGTTCGGATGCATGTGTATACACCTCAATCCACATGTGTTGGAGTGGAATAGAATAGAATTTAGTTTAATTACACTCCAATCCACTTCGACACGTGTGGATTGAGATGAATACATATGTATCAAACAAGGCCTAAATCTAGGAGAAAATATGCATGGATTGTGGCTAGATTGGAAATTATAGTAAAATAATACAAGAACATCGAGGAGGCAAGTCTTAGACGTCTGGACACCGTACGTCAAGGATGACTCCACATGACGAGGAGAAGCTAATGAAGGGCAAGCCATGCTCAGTGGCAGCAGTGTCCTATGCGCCATCTAGGCCATGTGTCTTCATGTTCACAGCAGCTTGCTTGACACAAGTACTCCGAGAGAGCGATCTTGCGTTTCTACTTCACACAACAGGGGGAAGAAGACAAGACGCATGGCTAACTGCGCTCAAGATTGACGGCATCACCTATGTCTCATCTCGGCAAAGGACGTGTTAGCATCGCTAGCTCTTTATCTCTAATCATACATATCTATATTTCTAACAACCTGTGGATATATAATATA